TCGGCTTCCGGAATTATGGGAATGCTTGCGATCGGGACTCGTTGCATTTACGAGCACGTGATGCTGCATTTAAGGGAGATGAAATATGACTCCGTGCTTCGATAAATAAAGCCCTGGGTAAATGGCAATAAATGCGGAGTTACGAGCGTTTTCCGTATATTTGTGCACAGTCGTGGCCATTTTGTAATGGAAGCGCCGAGAAGAGTATTTATTGTAGAATTGTTAATCGCGTTCTCGCGGTGCACTTGTCACGTGCCCATGTGGTACCGGCAATTAATATAAGGCGATATTATCACAGAAATTCTCCGCGATGCGACATGGTAATCCATTACCACGTGCCATAAATTCCTTGAAAGTAATAATTAAACTTCGATACCACGAATCACCAGGAGCGTCAGACCATATTAAAAATATTGAAATTCCCTTATTGTTTAATACATCTCTTTAGAATCAATCGATTCCTGCCTGCCGTGAAAATTCTATAAATAAGTTACAGTAATTATACAGCCGTCTGCAGGAAGTACAATGACTATTCATATTCAGTTGTCCAGCAGTTACGAAGAGCCCGGAGCGGTTTCCGCAGCTTTCGCTTCCTGCGAAAAATGCTCGCGAGAAAAGGGGAAAGTTCTCCAGCCCCTTCACCTAGGACTAGGTGAATCGAGGGAAAGTCGTCGGGAAATTCGAGAGGGAGGGGCATTAATTGGAAATTATGCGAGGCAATTGAAGTTTCGCGGGGTGGCTTTGCCATCCGCGTTTTCTCCGCGCTTCCGGGGAACTCGATCAGGCGGATCTCCGGGGGAGGGAAAAAGCGGAAACTCCGAAAGGGGGAGAAAATTTTCCGCGGTCGGAATAATCGAATCGATGGGCGAAGGAACGTGCGGAATCCGTCGCCGAATGCAAACGCGCGGCCTCGAACGGAAGCGACGGGGAAAGTTTTCGGGAAAAAACGAGGGGAGACAAAAAAAAGAGCGGAAAAGGGGGAACGTTCGATCGTACACGAGCCGCGTCGGGATCGCCGACGAATTTGGAAACTCATTGAAAACTCGAACCCCCTGCGGAATTACTGCGTGGCTGCGCTCGGCTTCGCCGTGAGTAGCCGCGGGTTCGCCGGATTGAAACTTGCGCGAATTACAGTCCTACGGATTACATCGTATTTTTACGGGGGCGTTAATGCCCGGCGAAACTATCTAGGAAAATAGGCGACGATAAAAATAATCCCCCGGGACCGCTTCCGGCGTAAAATCATTACGCACGCGCGGTTATACGAGTACTTGTTCGCCGTCTGGCATCGTTTGTACGATATAATTCCAGGTTCGCCATATCCTAGCCGGACTTGTACACATCGACTGATTCTGAAATAGCGTAGCACATTTCAGAGCTGAAAACTAAACCGGCGGAAACGCCATAGTAAACAAGGATCCGCAAACTCTTCGCGTCCGGCGCCGCCCCGAATTTCATCGCGCTCCCTATAATGTCCTATATTTAAACTGAACTCCGAAACCTATCGTAAATATACGAAAACAAATTCATCGATGTACCGATGATCTGCTAAATAACCCCGATTACTTAATCGCAAGTACCCCTGCGTTTGCATTTCCTCAGATCGGCGGTTGAAGACGTAAATCGAAAAAGTCAATAATTAAAATCCTGCAGATTTGTTCTCCCAAATGGTGATACGCCAGTAAAGATACATTTGTAGCACTAAATCCAAGTAATTGGGGCGAGATTGCACTGTAGCGAAGGGTTAATCTAGCGGTTAATTAATTTGTTCTGGGAAAGCGTCACCGAGTAAATCGACATCCATTCTCCAAGATCTTGCAGATTTGTTCCTCCAAATAGTAATCAGCAAATAAAAATACATTTGTAGCATAAAATCCCAGTAATCGATGCTCGATTGCATTTTAGCGAAGGGTTAATCCAGCGGTTAATTAATTTGTTCTGGGAAAGCCTCACGGGGTAAAGCGACGCCGCGTCCGTTCTCCAAGATGGCGGCGGCCGCGGAGCTCGAAGACTTCTCGGTCCCTTTCCGCGGCCGAAAATGGAAATAGCACTCGATTTTCACGCCGGTTCACGCCCCCACAATAATTCGCCGCGTTTGAAAGCGGTTGTGCGTTCGGTGGGTCCTGTTTTGCCTCGATGCGACGTACCGGAAGAAGCCGTAATGAAACCGCGCGCGGCGTCGGGGGGTGGAATCTTCCGGGGCGAATTAACGCCTCGGGCCACGGACTCCACGGATTCGAGAAGGCATCCTGATTTCCCTCGGAGCACGCGGAGATTAATATTTCTCTGTGCACGGTGGGTCAAAAGAGGGGCCCGAATAATAGGGGAGGATTCGCGATCGCGCATGATCACGGAAGTCGCATTTCCTCTCAACAATAACGATCTTTAAAAATAATTCATTCTATCGGAAAGTTCAGCCAGTTAGGATAAAATGCCGCGACGTAAAATTCCTGTAATTTATTCATGGAATATTGTCGGAGCACCAAGTTCACGGGCGCCGATCTCCCTATCAACAATGATAACCTCCGATTTAACCGTACTTTTAATTCAACAATCACGTTAAATAAAATGAATAGGTGCAAGATAAATGGGTCATCGAGTTTTATATCGGAAATTTTCTTGGGTATTATTTATGAAGGATTAAAGTGTTAGAGATCCTCGGATAGGCAGCGTGGATTAAATCGGATCCATCGATCGAGAGAAGATCCGCTTTTATCGGACGGTCGGCGAATCGACTCTGGCCGATTGACGGGTTCTTTAATTAAATCGTCGCGATTCGGGGCCGCGGCGGCGATCGATTCGGCTATAATCTCGACCCGGCTCAAAGCCCGAAATTTCGGCTTTAATTAGTGTTTGATCGAGGATCTAATTAAAATCAATAACAGCTCTGATTGGTAACCCGCATCCCTCTAACCTGTCGTTCGCTAATCCGATCGTTACTAATGCAGGATTAGCGACGCCTGCGACTCGCGATGCACTCGCGCGTACTCGCGGGTACTCGCGATGTACTCGCGCGTACTTGCGATGCACTCGTGCACACTCGCGCGAGCGAGTCGCGCACGTAAGTGCCGCGCTCGGTTAATTAGTCGGCGGAATGCAAGCTCGATGCGGACGGGCTGTCGGCCCGTTTGTAATTTGCACACGCGGCCATGAGCAACAATAAGCGAGTTTATAAATATTCACGAGCGAGCGCGTCGCGCCGGCTGCTCGCCGCCGCGGATTAATCGAGGAAATAAACGCTGCGGAATCCGCGCGATTAATGCCCGATTTGGGAGCGAGGAGATCGCCCGCCGTCGATAAGCGATCGGCTAATATTTTCGCCCGGGCTAATTTATTTATTGCTCGCCCGGGTGGGATTAAGTTAACGAGCGGGTGTTAACGCCTATATGAGGCGAACCGAACTTTTATGGCGATTCGAAATTGGCTGTGTCTATGGAAGTTGCAGGGTTTTTAATATTTAATTACAAATCGTTGGTGTTTTGTGCTAATTTAATCATCTGGCCGTAAGCAATAATTTTATGATTGAAATAATTGCGTTTATACGAACTGATGATGAATGAAAGGCATTTTTCATGATCGTTTCTCCTAAGTAAATAATTATAACGGATATAAATTGTTCCTTTTTGAGTTATGTCGTGATTTTATTAATGCAAATGTAGTCGATTGTCGAGGGAAAATATGTTCCCATTTTTTTTTTCGATTTTATGCTCACGTTCTAAGTGCATTTTCATTCGATCAAAGGATTAGTAATCGAAGAGATTTTTTTTCCTGGCTACGTGCAGTGGTTTGATGCATGTAAAAAAGGAGAATGGAAAAATTGTATTTGCATCCTGTGTCATTCGGAAAGAAATTGTCATACCCGGAGCCATATTTCGCAAAAGGGAATTCGTAACTAGGCTTTGATAAACCCAGGTATGGTGAAGAAATCTGAGAGCTTTCCAGGTTTTGCAAAAAGCCTTTTACCCTGGGATTGAGTGCAGCAATTGCACTTGGATTGCTCACAAGGAATGCATTATCGAGCATACAGGACGACCAGGTTACCGACTCTCGAGACGAAATCTCCCTTATCACCGCATCCCCGTAGTTATACTGGAAGGACCCCCCCTTAGACTTTGGGATTTGACATATTAAGAAGCAAGTTCTCTTTTCGACTTTTCGCAAGCTCATCCCCTCGCAGCCAACAGAGGACACCGACATGTCGCCCCCAGAACTGCGCACACCCCATTAACCCGAACATCCCCAAAGAACACACGTGACTCCACCACCAGATAACGAAATTGCATCCCCGGAGTCGTGATAAGCCTGATGAGCATTATCAACAGGCGACGATGCCGGGGGGGAGATTCGAGAAAAGCGATTTTAGAAAATGAGCAAATAGCTCCCAGGCACACTTTTCGTTGCAGACTCCGAAACAATGCACTTTGCAAATTGAAGGGCCAAATTCGTCGATACTTAATAATACCCTCCCTGCCGTATATGCGCATTACCGCATATTAACGGGTTACTGCACCAGCCGAAATTTGCATCCGGACATTTTGCCCCCCTCAGTCGCTACGTACAAATTGAACGTCACTTTAAATACACACGTGCATTAAATATAGAATAACGAGACGGATCTGCATACGTCAGTTCAGAGTCTGCAACGCGTACTACTTAATGATAAGACCATTTGAAAAATGCCGGCCGATACTGGTTGCAGTAAAAAGGTCCTGGTTGTCTACATTTTTACACGTGTCGGTGCAACAATGTATCAGCCGTGCATCCTGGTCGGTCCTTTTGCGTTGCTTTCCCCTATTTAGCGGGTCGCGGGTTTCCAAGATGTCCTTTTCGACGCTATCGCGGGGAAACAAGTGCAATGGACACGACAAGGGCGCAAACCCCGACGCAGCATCACATATTCCACCGAGCGAGCAATCTACCTAATACAAATTACTGTTTCTTCTGTTTTCTGTTCGCTTCTTATGTTACGGACAACCCCTGGTTTCTGGTTTCTCGTGCAGTCCTTCAAGGTAATTCGCCGGCGCGCGGCCTATTTTCTCTAATCTACCTCACTTTCTCTCTCTCTCTCTTTCTCCGGCCCCATCTCTCTATCTCTCTCTCACTCTCGCCGAAGCATCTCATCCGCCTCCATCTCCGTTTTTCATCCGACGTCGCCGAGCTCTCCCGCTCTCCTCACTATCGCCCTCTCCTTTCTCTCTTCGAGAACTGCTTCTCGATTCGAGGACGATCTAGAAAAGATTCATACTTATGCTTCCTACTTTCGCATTCGTTCGTTCAATTCACTTACGGAGTAATTAATATCTAATTAAAATTTGGTGCCCTCTGTAAAAAAAAAAAAAGAAAAAAATCAATGATGAGATGCATCGAGACGTGTGTTTCCAATTTTGTACACGTGGTCAGTAATAACAGTAATAATCAAATTGAGCTTGAAATTTGGATTGAAAGGATGTTACGTATTGTAATCAATTTTTTTTTTATTTTAATAGTAAAACAATGCCAGGATATTTTCACGTTTTGGAGCATATGCGATGATAGTTATTGTTTGTGTTGGTATATTCCGTTGAAAAGATTTGAAAGGACGAATGTGAACAAATTGGCTCATTAATTATTACAGATTTAAAGGCGATTCGATGTACCGTTTATACGATGTTACAGGTTTAACAGTCGGATATTAAATTGCCACGTACTCAGCTTTGTGAATATGGTATAAGCATTTGCATGTTTACATATTTATTGTAGCATATTCACACCTAGTGTACAGCTTTGTGGTGAAGGAGTGACTGTTAACAATTAATACCAGACGAATGTTGAATCGAGTAGACGTTTTACTCTGTAGATACGTTTGAATAATTGAATCGAAAAGGAGCATTTCGTCGTCGTCTCTATGTCCTCCCTGACCGATGAAGACGAGTCTTGGCAGAATCTTTGAGCTTTGTTGACATTTGACACGCGAGAGAAAAGGAGAAGGAGAACGCAAGGGGGAGAGAGGGAGACAGAGGGAGAATCGCGCTCGTTGTGCTTGTCGCTCTGTCATCGTGCATTTTGTAGTCAGTGTATTTGTGCTTCCTGTGCTCGTCCTCTTTCTTCGACGCGACCACGCGCCATTTTCGGCGGCCATCTTTCGATCGGTGACATCAACGCGTTACTTAATCCGAAAGAAGTCCTCCGAATTTCGACAACCCTTCCCGCGTCACGTCTAAAACGAATTGAAATATATTTCGGCAACTGTCATCCTACTAATCGTACCGGAAATAAAGTACAGCGAACCTTATCCTTTTTCGGTAATCATCGACAGTGTCATTCTTAATACATTTTGTTTGATGAAATTGTCAGCTCTGAGAAGCAGGAATTTTACCCTTTTTTCACATGCCTGGAAAAAGCGTTTTTACGCATTGTCAGGATTGCTGCCTAGTTAGGACGGGAATCTTTATTGTAATGTCCAAAATGGCGGAAAATCAGACGCGATGAGGAACGTCGGCGAGGTCGCTGAAGAATTCTCACAGCTTTACACGTAGAACTCACGTTAGATATGCATGCTAGCAATCGGCGCCGTGCACCGTATTGCACTTTCCGGCTCGTTGCACCGTTGCATGGTCGTCGTCCACGTGTAAAAGCTAGGAATCGAGCAGGGAAATGAATTCCGGGTATCAGGAGGGATTTTCGTACCGAATTCCGCGGGTTCGCGCGCCGTTCGGGCCGGAAAACTCCAGCCTGCTTCGGCGACGAACTCGAGCGAGATATATTCGAGATATCGAAAAGCAAATACCCAATATACCTAAAACTCTACCCGGTAATATCGCAATTCGTATCCTCCGAACAGAGAATAAAGGACGCTTTGATCCTACGCCGTCCCTCGACGAGGGGAAAAAAAAATTAATCAAATATTCATCATTACGATATACTTGAAGAAAAAACAATGGAAACTTTTTACGGGTCATTCTTGGAAATAATCTGCGAAGCGTCCTTTTTTTCATAGGTATATATGTGCCATTATTAGGAAACATATTTTATTGGAAGGAAAAAAAGGAAATCTTTCCCTGCATTTCATTGAGTCTGTCCAGTTGTGTCCTCGATAAGATTAAACGTGTTACAGTTTGAAGTCTGATGTAGATAATGGTACTGATTCGAAAATTACTTTCCTAATTATTATTGGCAACGCCTTCTGTAACTTTAAATTGTATTTAAGGTCTTAGGGACCAAATGAGCCGCGAAAAGGAGGGCCATTTCAGACCTTGTCGAAAATGTTCCCCGAGAAGGCTCGAGCGAGTCTCCGGTCTTCGTGGTCTCGCCATGAAGGTGGAAACGAGCCCGAACGAGGATCATAAATTTCATCTTCACCCCGGGGACTGTATTTCAGCGGGGTGAGAATCGCGACATTATTTTTTCACTCTCTCGCCCCGCCTTCCCTAGGACTGCGGCGATATATTGCGACGTTTACGATTAACAGTCAACTTGGGGAAAATCCGACATTGGTCAATTTGTCAGTCCTGCGTCGTGATAACTCTGGTCTTTACCGGTAAAAAAAAAAGTGAGGAAAAAAATAAGTGACGTCGGAGGACCATCCCCTATTTTCGGAGCAAGGCGATTTCAGCGAGTACAAAGTGAAAGTACGATAAACATTTTTTTTTTATTATTCCATCCGGACGCGGAGGAATATTTCAGATTTTTATTTAGTTACACGGCAAGGAGTGGGATCTCAAGAATTTCACGAAGCATCCTCTCACGGTTGAAAATTGTTATTTCGAGTCAAGCTAGCCGCGCCTGGTATTCCGGAAATAATCACCCCTCGTGGCGGAATTGCTGGTGGAAACGTGAAGGGCGGGGTAAAAAAAAAAGAAAAAATAGGAAAAATAGACAGGACCAGGGCACGCACGAAAGTTCATCCGCGAGTCCCGCGGCGTGCGAGCTCGTTCTGGAATAAACTTCCTAAAAAACACTAGGCTCAGCGGCGTGGCCGGGAACGTAAATATTTCGCCGTTTTAACTGGGCGTATGGAGCCTGCAATTAACATTCAGTAGAAAAGTGCCATCCCACCGTTTGTCCTCGGCCGGTGAATTAGCGCCCGCCTCCGATAAACAAAGCTCTAATGGAAACCCGGCGAAAAGCGAAGCAGAATTATTTCCAAAATTCACGTCCCATTAATTATATGCGCCGCTCAAACCTCGTTTTCGAATCCCTCAGAGTTGAAAAATAGTGCCTTCAAATCATCACGACGGAAATTCGACGTGAACTGCCCCAGAATTTCCCCCCAGCTGATAATATCTAAATAAATAATTCCCCCATATCTCCCCCCACATCCCAAATTCTTGAGAATTTTTCTCCTAGACCAAATCCCAAGAAAAAGGGTATACAGGAATTTTTTTCAAAATAAATCAAGAATTAATCAACCCTCTTTGGCGATATCGTGGCCCGAAAGTGTGGGTAGGACGATCGATCAAATTGCGGGGGAGAAAAAAATGAATGGCGAAAAAGACCAATTTCGAGATTTCCTCCCAATTTGGCGAGGCAGGGTCCCCGACCCAGGGGGACGTCAGGAGGAATTATGAAAACCGAGGAGTTATGAATTTGTAACCGGATGGCTCGTTAGCGGGAGTGCCGCGTAGGTGAATCCGCGAGCCGGGGGTGGGGGGTTGGGGTATCGTTAAATGCAAATCGTTTTCATAAAATTCAGACGATAAAGGGCTGGCGGGGGTCGCGGGTACATACGCGCACACGATGGCGTGTAAAACCGTTTTACGTCACGACGTCGGGGGCGAAAAGAGCTTTATTGGCTGGCGGACGGGCACAGGGGTGGCGGGGCAAGGCTTTGCGAGGGTGGCTTAAAAGCCGAGGAAAAATCTCATTTCGAGCCAGTCGGTCAACGCTCGTGTAAATCGTTAACCGGCTGCCTTTCGCGCTTCCCGGGGAAAAACGATCGATTTCCACCGCCGCCACTTTGCGAGTGCACACCCGAGAGCGGCCGAACTCGATTCCGAATTATTTACCAATTTAACCCCCCTCCCCCGATCCTTTATTTCCCTTGATTTCCCGTGTTATCGCGAGCGGAGGATCGGGTCTGGAAACGAGAGAAAAAAGGGGGAAAACGAAAAGCAAATTCCTAACCGGAGCGCAGTCGGTTGGTAATTTATTTACCGGTTTGAGAAATAAACATACCCCGCCCCTTTTTTTTATAAACTATTCGACCAGAGGCTGGATTAAATATCCAGATATTTTCCGGGATTTTCGGAGTTGGTTTTTAGGGATCCATTTATGTGGAGTTCGATTTCGGGCAATACTTGCTGACGAGGGGATTTTCATGCCTGGAGAAATGCTCGATCCTGGTTACGCGAGCTTGCCTTTCGGGAATACGGGTAATACGATTTGCGTAATGATGTGTCCGCAGTTCAAGTGCGTCTTGCAAACCTTGATCCAATTCCGCGCCTTCGGTATTTATTCGGAATTCCGCGGAATCTCGTTATCGTCGTCGCGGGAGGAGTGTACGTACTCTTGCAAGCTATCGAAACTGCAATCGGTTTAGAGAAATGCAGGGAAAATCGCGTAAGGTTTTATTTTATTTACCTGCTTCTGGTTACGCGATAATGTTAACTGGATTTCTCGTTAATTTTGGGAGGTTTACTCGGGGCGGGAAAAATTTGCGTTCAAAGGGAAGCGAGCTTCGACGCCGTGGGGAAACGTATCGAACTTATCGATCTTCCGCTTATAGAGCCTCCCGTAATCTCCTTTGTAACTGCGCTTCCGGAAACTCAGAAATTGATATCACGAAGCTCTCGCGAGAAGGGTTTCCGCCGAGCTTTGCGGGAGCTCGGCGTTGATAGGTTACAGGAACTTAGATGTAACCTTCGACGGAAGTTGATTCGATACCCTTCCGGTACATGTCAGAGTCCTAAAACGTCGTAAAGGCGAACACCACTGGCAATGTCATCCTTAAAATTGGTAAAAAATCAAGCTCTATCGTTCGAAATTCCCCTAAATTTTCCGAGATTAGCATTCTGTCATAATTACTCAATTT